ATATTTTAACCTCCGTTTGCGGTACCCAACACAGCAGCAGTAAGGACACGGCGCGGGAAATCCCGTAAATCTGCTGTACCCGTCTTCGTAAATCCGCGAGTTAAACCCGTATATCTTTGGCATCGATCGCGGATCCCCCTTACTGCTGCTTCATCATTCGGGTCAATCCACACAGCACCAGTATCGAAGTCCCCGCCGCATCTTCTCGTAACAGACGACCCACTCGGTCCCAAAGGACACTCGACAGTCACTGAGTCGCCTATTTTTGTTGATTGCCAGGTAAAGAAACCTTTGATATTTTGCTTGCCTGTTGTTTCCTTGATACACATTCCTACATGAAAGATAAGATAGGGAGGCTGAGTCATCAGAACATACGAGCTAACATATGCTTTACTTAAGACATTGCATTATTCTCGAAATGCACAGTACTCTCTGTAATAATAGGAGGTCAATTTTTTGGGATGTTTATTTTCGGATTTCAGACAGGGTCTAACATTAAGGGCATTTAGAAAAACATGTAAGTAAGCATGCAATACCTGAATAAAGAAATTTTATAGTTATGTCAATACCTGTGTCTTTCACCAAGATTAATTTCCAGTCGATCTTCAAGCCTTCTATCTTGTTCTTCTTCGCTCCTTCTTTGAGAATCTCCACGAGGCTTCTATAATAGTCGTCCAAGCCTTCGTTTTGGTTTTTCTTCTTTCCATAAATAACACAATCCAACGTACTAAGTTTGTTAGACTCCTCCCTACCACGACAACACAAACACATCAAAAACTATTTAACATGCATCGCCAGATAGAAATATTTTCAATATATTTWATKWGATTGTACAGTACTCACCACCTATTTAATGTATTTTTAGCATGTTTATACTCTCTTGGTTTATCTTTGCTTGAGAGGTATTTAGCAATTTGTTCACAAGGGTCCTGTGGCTGAAAAACGCATAAAGAGCAACATCAGTAAATCAGAATTGGTCAGGATTCCTGAGACGTGAATCCAAATATGAATCAAACCAAAAACACAGAAACTAAAAAAGAAAATTATTTTGAGCAGCAACAGTGTATAACCACACAAGATGGGCCTGATAATTAAAAACAATCAATTACTTGGTCATTTATGTTTGGCTTGTTATTCTGTGGCTTGTTATTCTTTGGCTTGTTATTCTTTGCCTTGAAATTTATAATAGACGTGAAGTAATCTGAAAAAGAATTATCATCAAGTGATGAGCAATATCAAGGTTTTACTGGCATGATGATCTTATATGGCGCTATCCATTCCCTAGATGAAGCAAGATGGGTTACATGGTAGAATATAGTAAAAACGATCTAGTCCATCTGCCCGAATGAAGGTTTAAAATAGGAATTGTCGTATTAACAACATTTAGTAATCCACTGTACCCATACCTGTAACAACAAGTAAAAGTCTTTCACTTCGTGCTGGTCCATGATGTGGTATATTACTTGCATTACACCAGTAATAACCCTGTTTATAAACGTCCATTGTTACAATGTTGGTGGGAATTTTATTTGCTCCTCTGTACCACGTGATACTAGCTAAAGGAAGCTGAGAGCTTGATTCTTTGCAAAATAATGTCACTAGGGTCCCAGATTTAACGTTCTTGGGCTCTAGCAAACTGGTAATAATTGGTTTTACGGCTGAAATAAGCAAAGTATGGGTAAGATAACAGAGAATGTGATGTTGCTGTACACCCAGATTCGTTCACAAGTGAAAGCCATAGATTAGCAAAGGCAGCGTCTGATGGTGAACAATATTACTCAACTTGTTATTCAATTAGTTTTCATCAGGATTATGATAAACATGCAATAGAAACTATCCCCCACAGGGTCCTAACGCATGCGCAGCTTATTGAAGGTAATAAGGCATAATTGAATGTTTGATATAAGATACACGTATCCGTTAGCAGGAAGTTTTTCTTCAGGTAGTGCTGGGACCGCTTTGACCGATGGGACCCAAATTCCAGTAGCAGCTAGAGCATGCAACGAAGTTTGTTTACTATTGGTCTAAACTGCTGCCAATTTTTTTCCCAAATAGGGAATGGGGAGTTGCCGAAGGCTGCGCAAGTAACTAGAATATTTCAATATACTTGATGTTATATAATTGAAAATCTTGGTACAGGGCACAGGCTTCATTACCGGAAACCCTCACATTTGCCCTCATTTCGTTATCCCGAACAAAGCGGTAAATAGCTATCATGCACCAGCCTGAGATACAATTAATGAGTACACGTATGATAAAAATTATTAGGCTATTATGTTAGCCTAGTTAGGCATAAAATTAGTGTGATAATTAAATAGGGTTAGGTCCATTATCATGTGTCGATGCTGAGTGATTATCACCACCATTTCAAGTGAATGCAAAACATCTTCCTACAGACAGTTGTCAGGAAGCAAGAACAACTTACAAACGAAGGCGTAGACGTCATTGGCCCAGTGTCCACCAATACCATTTGAACATCCAGTAAAATTACCATATCTGGCGTATGTAAGACTTGCGTTCACTCCAGACCAACATTCACGCCCATTGTAACCGACGCCAAACACTTGGTACCCTTTACTCCACGAGATCTTGGCACATTTCTTTATTGAAGCAAGACTTCCTTTCGGCCAGCTAAGTCAAAGATATTCAGGCATGGCACGCGCCCCCCGTTTATCTTTAAAGCATCCAATGTACCGATAGTGTGGGATTTCATTACTACCGTGATCTGAGAGGGCATAGAAGTTTTAGAACGGTCACAAAATATGCATGAAAAAGGGATAGGAAGAGTTCGCGGTTAAAGCAATAGGAAAATTTTACATTTCCGTCTTTCAAAAAAAGTACGAAAATCAAAAAAGAAAGAAACAACAGCTACAATGAACTTAGTCTATTGCACTGCTTTCAGAAATATAATCATGTTTATTATTATACAGATATTGATGAAATACCAGGTTTTCTCTAGTGTCGAAAACTTGATATCTTTCACCAGTGGAAGATACTATATCTTTCACACGTGAAGATATCGCTGTTGAATCGGCTTGCTATTTTAATAAAGAATTTTTGAGCTTTTGTTTTATTTAAGTTTCATCGATATCTGCGCTCACTCGTGAGATATCAATTGAACATTCGAAGATAAAATTCGTATCTCCGCGCGCCCATGTAATATCCTCTATATGTCTTCGTATGCGTACGTTTAAATTCTGTCCTATTTTGTTTTGGCATAACCAGGGGGATGGTATATTCTCGACCGTTATTAAGTGCTCGTTATTTTTTAACGTACTATGGAAGATTAACTTGACATCTGAAATGTCCTCTTTTATACGAATAACACCATGAGGTGAGCTGAAATTTAATTTAATTTTTAGATATTGTTGGCCACGATGTCGTGGTTCTACGTATAACTGTTGATGCAGTTTGTGATGCAGTTTCCAACGTTGTCGTTTTCCAAGATGTAGGTCGTGTTTTCACTTCCCAAGATATTGTTGGCCACAGTGTAGTAGTTCTACGTATGACTGTTGATTCTTGTGATGCAGTTTTCAACGTTGCCGTTTTCCAAGATGTAGGTCGTGTTTTCACTTCCCAAGATGTTGTTGGCCACAGTGTAGTAGTTCTACGTATGACTGTTGACGCAGTTTGTGATGCAGTTTTCAACGTTGCCGTTTTCCAAGATGTAGGTATAGTGTTTTCACTTCCCAAGATGTTGTTGGCTGCAGTGTTGTAGTTTTACGTATGACTGTTGATTTTTGTGACGAAGCCGTTTTGCAGGCGTTGTGTTTCGAAGTGTTGCTTGTTGCTACTTGTGTGCTATGAGTGCTTTAGTGGGTCGTGTACTTTCGGCCGAGTCCCTTCTTCGAGGTACTGATGGTGTATCAGTTGTTTTCCTAAATCCTGGAAGATTTACGAACTTTTTATCAAAGTCTAATGCGTGAACAACGGCTAAAAGGTTCAACTATAAAAGTCGATAAAAATCTTGAGCTCGCAGCATGGCTAACAGGTCACGTGATCAATGCCGTTCATATCTGATGGAAAACGTCAACGATAACGTGACTTCTTATAAATATAACTGCCGCCATACTCGAAGGAACGGATTTCCTGCTACTCATAAACAAGATTTATATCATATGTCTTAGTTTTTCCTTACGACATCGGATTAGTGCAAATTTGACTCATACGCTTATCTTTAATTAATGCGACTTGCTTAAGATTAATCCTATAGTTAATAGTTTGGCATATCTTGCTTGCATCATTTTATCTTATCTCTTTCAGTTTAACTAAAATCTTAATGTTAGTATATTTTGGCGATGTCTTTGATTCTATGTTTAGATCCACAGCGATAGTATATTATGACATGTCGAAGCCAAAATCATTAGGAAGTCGAGTCTTTAGCCACTGGCTGAGGAATCCAGGACCATTATAGTAAAGCACATTCTCAGACAGCACTTAATAACAACAATAACTTATCGGCAAACTTACTATTGAAGATGTAGACAAAATAACTATTGTTTCTACCCATCGTTTCATATCACCTTTTTGACTCCAACATGGAGAAGAACAGGCGATAAAAACATGTCTTTTTCTTCTATATCTATTGTTTGTATTTATGGGTATCTTAAAGAATATTTTCATATAATTAATGAATGCTCGTACTTTGAGTGCATGATCAAACTGACTCGGTATATGATGAAACTAAGCAAGGCACAAAATCCTAACCATTGATCGTTAGATGGAATCGGAAGAAATCGGGTTTTAAGTTGTCGGATCACGAATCCCTATTTCATATTGAAATTACTTAGAAGCATTCTCAAACTTGCCGAACCAGGCAACACTAGAGTTACAACAGAAAATGTGAATACGACATTTCAGATCAGTGCGACGCCAGGAACCGTAGATATAGCTATATTCATTAAACCACGAAAAAGAAGAGTTTCACGGTAGTTAGGATATAATTTGCTTTGGAGAAAGAAAAAAATGTCCTTTACATGCAAAATATTGCTTGTTTCTGATTAGTGACCTACAACATGCCTGAAAGGCTGTCTTGTTTATAAACATAGATCATTTTCTCTTGTATGCACTGAACACTGCATTCTTGGTATCTTGCTTCTCCTATTGATATTGAAGAAAGCTAGCCGTAAGTCTTTTTACAGCAAATGATAATAATTGCAAATAAAAAATTAATATACAGCACTTAGAAACTGGAATCTCAAACGAATGATGCAGTATTCATAAATAGACAACCTTTTTGGATTAGCTGTGGCAAATATTCTACCCAAGACCAGCATGGTCTGTTTTCTTACTTTCTCCTTGTGTTGTTGGTGTTATCACTGTTGGTGTTAGTGTTGCTTGAGGTACAGATGTTGTAGGAACACTCACTTTAGAAGGAATAAATCCAAACCAGAAGCCTAAGATTTATGCATGCTGCTTCGCTTTGCAATTATCCCCATTACAAATTTATTTCAAAGATATGTTTCAGTGCTATCTCATATGATTTTGCGTTCGAACGATTGATTTAATTTCGCCACCGTGAAAGCAAGCAAAGAGCGGGATGTCTCAATCAAGGGTTTTACTAGTAATGAGGTTCTGAAGGAAACATGGTTTAAGTTCACAGGCTCATGAAACATCAATCATGCGATTTCCAGAAAGAACTTGCATAGTTAAGAAAATTTTACGAAATCTTACTCATGTACATTATTTCGGAAAAACCTCATGAATGTTTAAGGTAAGACCTAATGTTTAGATTTACCCATGAACTTACTATCGAATCTATAGACATCCATTTTCAAGTGTCCGCCGCCTGACCCACATGCTCCAGTAGCAACACCATGTTTGTTATAAGTAGAATCAGCGTTGTTTCCAGACCAACATTTCCCACCGTTCCGTAGACCGAAGACCTTAGTGAATCCCTTTTTCCAAGCGGCTCTTGTACAGCTCTGCACAGGATCACGATCGTTTGGGATTTTATTAGCTACAAGGACTGGCATGGCCTTATCGGCGAGAACTTCAATAAAGCAGCCTTCATGCAAAACCTTAACTGAGAGTTGAGGAAAAGTATACTTGTCAAGAACTTGCTTATGATTTGAACAATAAGCAATCATTAAAACTGATCTGCTGGCTTTCTTCACTGATCATTAACCTAAATATTATGTGTTATTTTCTGAAAAGGAAAGAAACTCACACGACAAGAAGTACACATCATTGGCCTTCACTCCACCAACACCATTCGTACAACTACTATCGTTACCATATATATTTGGCATAAACAAAGATGGCGTCTATCCCGGTCCAGCATTCACCATTGTTCTGCACACCGAATGCTTTGTATCCCTTTAAACCTGCTTCATTATTACAGTTGTCGACTTTATCTATATTGCTTTGGTCACTTTGGCTGTAATTAGCCAGTAGGATAGGCAAGGCTCTTCCACTGATGTCTTCTTTATAGCAACAAACATGAAAATACTTTTTTCCTGAGATGTTGTTAGAAATTAGTTAATGCGAGGACAAAAGTTATCGAATAACCTTTACCTGCTAATACACCTATTTCAAAAAAAGTTGTCTGTCGGAGATAGGACATGGACGCTCTGAGAATAAACATAATTTCTGTGACCTTTATTTTTTCTAGCTAAAATACGAAAAATCGCATTTCTAACCCAAAAGCTCATGCCTGGTCAACCTAAAATCTCTACAAGTTAGACGCCTTCAGAATTTCTTAATCATATTGTACAAAAGTCTATTTTTTTCTCACTACCCAGGATATCT